CATATTCATGTGCTTTTTTGAGAATTTTGCCAACATATTAACATATTACAAGGATATTGTACTGCTAGAATTTGGGCATAAAAATTATAATTTAAAGTAATTACATTACCATTGCTTTAGTAAAGTAATGCAATACTATTACTTTCTGGGTTTCCAAAAATAGAAATATTTAATTTGTGCAAGTATTTTCTAAACATCCCACCCCTTCAAAACTAAATTGATGAATGTTGTTTCAAATTTGAATATCAAATTCTTTTGTTTATTAAACTGTAAATAACTTAAAAATCTTCTGTTTATTCATAAGAAGAAACTTTTTAATTACCATTTAGATAAAATCATAAACTATATACATTTTTTTTTTATTATTATTTTTTTTTTTTATATAAATTTTGATATCAGAAAGTTTCTTCATTGATTTATCTAACATCAACGTGTTTCACATCCTGTGATATAAAGGATACCTTTCAAAACAATCATCATCCATGACATTGCAATCATTTTTTCGGATATGATTTGATTAATATATAGACAAAAAATGGTGTTTGAGCCGTTAGATAACACTGAAAAATTTTTGTCACTTGTGCTTTATTACTAATGTACGTCATAATTGAGAGGTATAAGCTGAGCAGTAAACAGATGCAAAGAGACATATATTCTCTATCCCAAAAATGCGTCGTCTGAAAGTTAAATAAAAACCTTCAATTGTGATTGAATAAAATGTTAAAAAATCGATCAAAATTATGCACACATCTAAAGACGCCTTTTATTATGCAAAAAAAAAAAAAAAACAACCGCTTAAATATTCAGTGTAATGACGAAAATTTAAGGATAAACTAATTCAAAGATGTATATAAATCAAATGAGTAAAATAACGGGACATTTCTGTTCTCCTCTATAAGAATATCAATCAGTCTTGGGGGAGGGGGGGGGGGGAGTTTAGTTTAAAGTATTTATGATTTGAAAGATTTCAAAACATTATACTAGTATTTTGTATACCTTGATTGTCGACAGTCTTTATTTATTAACATTCTTGTCGATCCTTCTTGAAAAAAGTAGGTCTTTCTTTTTAAAGTTTGACCTTTCTATAGAATCTACTGTTAAGAGCTGCACATATCAACCAGTTTCAACGCACATAATGGTGCTTTATATGTATCCAGAAAATCAAATGCAAAAATGAAAATTCAGACGGGTAGTCTCTTGATTTTGTATCATCTACTGAGTCATTGTTCTAGCAATTTAACAACTATATTTACTGTGAACAAAAAGAGTCGGGTATGGGAAGAAAACAATGAATTATAAAGAGTGTTTTTAAAGAAAATACATATAAAATAACATATAAATACTAGGTTTGTTACATTAAAAGTTGCCTTTTACTTTGACAAAGAAAAAAGTCAATTCAGCAAAAAAAGTCAATTTAGCAAATTAGAAAAACTAACTTGTTTTAACCTGTCTACGACTTTTTGGAAAATCCTCGTATATGTATATAATGACTTGTCTTTCTTTTTCAAAATTCCCCCTCGCAAATCTTCTGTTTGATTACTTTTGCTGCTGTCTATGAATCTCATGTATAAAAAATTGTATAAAAAGTCCGTCAAATCGCGAAATGTTCAAATGAAAAACTTTTTTATAAAACTAATCAAAATAAAGGTTCCGTCTTCATTACAACATTTATTTCATAAAGAGGAACAAGCTATAAAACAATAATGCATAAATCATTCATTACAATTAATTGTTGAAAGACATATTTATTTAATAATTCAGAAAGTTTTATATTAAAAAATGATGAAAAGGTAAGAAAGCAGGATTGACTCGTATTGTATTACTAGCAGGTAGGCCAATTTAGAATTATACAAGATTGTAATAAATCTGCCCACTTTCATATTACTGCTATATTAGCTTGCTGACGTTGGTTCGATATATCCTTTTGAACTCGAAATAAAAGACACCACAGTATAAAATATGGAGATAACGAACAGTATTCAAGTTCAGAAGTTCATTCAAACAATACAAATCAGGCAGAGCAAACACGGACCTTTAAAACATCAGAGGTTGGATCAGGATCTGAAACATCTGTTTCATATTTGGATGCTTTACCAGAGAAAGACAACTAAACTTTATGATAAACGTGAAAACTTCGACTTGTCTTTCGTCAACTTCTCCTATTTATGCAGCAATAAACTATTATCACCTTCATATGGTCACAGTTGAAACAAGATAGGCTATTGACAAATAAGTTGATAATGCAAGGATATCAACAATCTTGTGTAAAGTCAACATTTCCCAAATTCTATGGTGTTTACAGTGAGCTTGTTTGCAAATACAATCTGTCCTTAAGTCGAATGTTGACTTTCGCTTTTCAAACAAATTGTTAAGAAGGCTGGGGGGTTGTGGCCATTTTCAGACTATATTGATCTCCTTTAGAAGAAGAGCTCCATATAAAGATATACAAAAATGACCAAATTTTAAAACTAAAATTTATGAAATTTTTTCTTTGCCAAATGAAAGTTGACAGCTTAAGATATCATGCCTAAAAAATTAAGTTATATCTGATGGTTAATTTGTTGACCCCCCAGCCTCCTTAAGCCATTATTTTCGCATTGAATTTTCTACGGACTTTTCCGTTTAACCAATTATGAAAAAGAAAAAACTGCAGGTGTGACCGGTCGACAGGGGATGGTTACTCCATGACACCTGATTCCACCAATGTTTTAAGAGGTCCGTGTTGGCTCTGCTCATAATTTGTATTGTTTAAATGGACTTTTGAAAATCACTATTAACTTTACATTTCATGTATGCTGCAAAGCTATATTCTGATTACAAGTCTGCATGAAAAAATTGATATTAACATGTTCTTTTTACACTTTACTCCATGATAGGGTTTTAAATAAACATTTCTATTTTCAAATATCCATTACACATGAAACAAATTTCATTGATGTTTATTGCATCAATCAGATTAACAAAGCTGTAATCAAAGAACTTAATGATAAAAGCTAATTATGAGATCAAAGTTACAATAATTAGGGGCGGTTTTTATATGCATTTCTAAATTCCACTCTTCTGAAGGTCAAATTGCTTCATTTTTTCGATTGTTTAACAACTGAAACATAATAAATTATTGTGAATGTCTGTTACTGGATCACTCAAATTAGAAAAGGTTTTTTTTTGGCAATTGGCAAAACTAATTAGTTGGTTGTCTTTATGAAAATGTAATGTCATTTCAATATTTCCTGTTTCGATAGATCATCCTTTTAAGTTCACGATGCTCTAAAATGTTCACAAGAAGATGGAAGAGATTAAAAAAGTATATTTGGTAATGAAATCATCTTTTGAAATATCGTATCAAGAATCGTTATTTCATTCCGTTGCCGCCGTGACAATATCAGATTACTTAATTGTTTATCTCTATAACCTGTTTAAATGCTCTTGTTAAAGGTGAAATTACTGTCTCAAGTTTGTAATGTAGTTTATAAAGATTATAAATAGTTTATATGTTAAACTATTATCCCTCATTGTGGTCCCATCCTAGTCCTGAGGGTCAAGATTGTATAATTTGAATTTATGCCACGTGATGATGCCTGAGAATCAATTTGACTAACTGTGACCATAAGAAAAAGATTGCTCATCTCTAAGTAATACTCTTTAGTTAAGCTTCTATCCCTGTTATGGCTCCTAATGTACATGTACACGGCACCACCAATACAACTATCAATATACCCTGTGTTATTTATGTTGCAAAGTAATAATGCAAAATTCTCTTGTGACGAATCAAAGAATATACTTTTTTCCACAACTGATATAAAATGTTCAAATCCAATAACCAAAACCGTTTTCTTAATTACATGTAATCAGTTGCATTTCTTTTTAAAAGCCTTGCTTTTGTTAACTAGCAAGCGATTTTGATTGCAATATTCTTAAAGAAACCTAAATACTAATCAATTTAAATGAAAACTGGGATTATATTTATTTCAGATAAAAGACTTATTTTTCGGGTTTTTGTATAAGTTGAAGTCAACAAAGCTTCAAATTTTTAATCTAAGTTGAACGTTGTTCGGAAAAGGTTCCATGTAGTATCAATATTTTGCTTATAGGAGAAGTCTCTTCAACATCTAGAGCTTTTCTGTTGACTCAAAATTATGTTTTTTAATCTAGTCAACTAGTATTGGAGATGCTAATGCTACGCAAACATTGTAAGGACAGAAGGATAATTCCTACATTTAAATATCCATGGCCACGATGATTTTAATTACTGAAAAGTCTCACCCATGGTAGCAATGTCATATAATGCATACTTATTTTGGACTTCAGAATGGTTCAATTGATAAAGAATATTTTTTCCAAACTTTTGAGAATTCCTCCAGTTCAGCTACATTATTTACAAAGTGGTAAATTGAAATGCAACAAAGATTTAACATAAATACGCAAATTGCTGCCAATTTGGAAAAAGATATATCATTACTTATAAGCTTACGTCCGAGACATACTGTGTCACACTCGGAAGGTCTCTGGAAATTACCACTACTCTCTTGTACGCTTAACAGCAATGGCGGAAAATTTGTAAAATTTGCATACACTTTAAAATATCGTGTTATACTGGTTTCTTTCAAGTTGATGTATCCAATCCGACAAAAAAAAATCGTTTAAAAATGATTAAATTATAATATTCAATAAAGACAGGTGAAAATTGATTTGCTTTCGTCAACAAGATGAATGAGCTAATTAATGTGTGACAGGCTGTGATATTTTGCAACCTTTGTGATAAACATGTAATACAGTCTTTCCCACATGAGCACTTCAACCTATTTTTTGACGATAAAAATGCCATAAAAGAAATATCATTAAATGACGACTTTACTATAATTATTTATTTCAGTGTATCACAAAGCAAATAAGCCAAATTGCCAAAACAGAACCAAGCGAGTTATCTTTCCTGCACTTTCTCCATAATAACATGTTAAAACAAAGAATACACTGTTTTAAAACACAATGAGAATACTAACCTGAGATCACTAGTGGGCTATCTGAGGAGCGGATCCACTTTAACAGCTGAACTCGGTCTTTTTGACCAATCTGACTTTTATCTATTTGAAGCCATTGCATGGCTTGTATTTTTGCTGTAAAAAGAAAAACCTATTCCATTTCTGAATGGCACAACAAGGTAAAACATTCGACAACTATGATAACATGTACTTGTAAATTCAATGTAAGGACACTGTAAATTGTTTCAAATCTCTTCTAAAGGATTTTAAATTTTGTATGATGTATACGGTAATTATAACGTGATAAACAATACATGACATGATTATTGTTCTATAATGAAATATATGGAGATAACGAACAGTATTCAAGCTCAAAGTCCATTAAACAATACAAAATAGGAGCAGAGCAAACACGGACCACCAAACATCAGAGGTGGGATCAGGTGCCATGGAGGAGTGAGCATCCCCTGCCGACCGGTCACACCCGCCGTGTGCTCCTTGTCATGATCGGGAAATAACGGGAAAATCCGTCGACAATTCAGTGTGTAAATAATGGCCTAACAATTAGAATGAAAAACGTTAGTCAGCATTTGACTCAATGATAAATTGTATTTGCTGACAAGGTCATTGTATCGACTATAGAACTTACGAAATGATGACTTTAAACGAGACAGCTGATATTCTTGTTTCATCAACTTGTTTGTCAATAATTTATCTCGTTTTAGAAATTGTACATACGTAGAGCATGCTCTTGCGTATCGAATCAACTGAGAGATATATACCCCGTATGCAGGGTATGAAGGTATATTGCTGCATAAGTAAGGGAAGTTGACGATTGAAAATTTAAAGTCATCACGTTTATCATAAAGTTTGGTTGTTAGATTACCATTAACGTCTTTTTCAAGTAAAATATCCAAATATGAAACAGATGTGTCAGACTCTGTGGTATCTTTTATCTCAAGCTCACCGGGATATATCGTATCGACATAAGAATGGAAATAGCCATTGTTAATGGACAATACGTCGTCGATATATCTAAATTTCGAGTTGAAGGCCACTGCAAGTGTTTTCTTCTTTTCATGTAGAAGATTTTGGACAAATTCTGCTTCATATGAATACAAAAAAGGTCTGCTAATAACGGGGCGCAATTGGTACCCATGGGAATTCCAATAGATTGTTGGAAGACCTGGTCTCCAAAAACCACATAGATATTGTCAATCAGAAACTCAAGCATCTTTTTAATGTCAACTTCAGAGTACTTGTGTGTACAATCAGAATGTTTTTGCAATTTTGCAAATGACCAGTGACAAGGTAAGTAAATTTACGAGTTCCATTTTTATTGAAAAAGCAGCTGTCAATGATATCAAAAAGCCTGGACTTTAATTTATCGTAGGGAATGGTTGTGTATAAAGTTGAAAAGTCGTTAATTTTAAGCTATTGATTTTGGTAAAATTTTGTGATTTCAAATTTTCCAAAAGTTCCTTGGAATTTTGAAGTATCCACATCTGATTTACACCACTTCTCGGATATATTGTTACACAGTACTCTTGAAGTTTCTCCTTCACTACTGTTAATATCTTAGTGAGGAGTAAAGAAAGAGGCTTGGTTGAACATTTACTGGAACCCGCTATGTATCTTTGTTTGTAAGGATTTTTATGAAGTTTCGGAATCCAATATAAATATGGTAATTCAAATTCATTTTGGTTGTTTGGAATATTAAAAATATTCAAAACTGACATATGATTTTGGAGAATGTCTTCTTTAGAAAGGGAACTATGAGTATAAGTTGGATTACCACTTGTAGAATTAAATCCAAGTTATATATATATATATATAAGTTATGCAATCATATTCCTTGTAGAAAACAAAGTATAACAAGTAAAATTTCATTATGTGTGACTTAATATCTGCAAGTAACACTGTTTTCTGTGTAGTTAAATAAATTTTCTCCTTTGCATAAAATAAGCATTTTTTTCAGAAATATTTCAACTTGGACTAGAAAACATACCCCTAAATGATTTATAACTGGGTTCACCTGTAAGTTTGACTTTATTGATATTCCTTCTTTGACAAGTACATATGTCAGATTTTACACACATGAGTATGATGCAACACCGAAAATCACTCATTTACTTGGAGATATATTAAATCTGCAGTGTTTGTTCGAGCTAAGGACAAGAATTTTTTTAAGTGTCTTAAAGAATTTTGTAGATCATTGAATGAAGGTTTGAAAGCATACGGACATACAAAATTAAATCAGTTATGCCAGTAGCCGCTAAATATCGTAATACATATATAAACTTTTTTTCTTTATAGATACTATGCAAAAATACAATTATTGCTGGGTTTTTTTTTAGGTCAATATGATGATTTAGCCACCTGAGGAGTACAATATTAACCGAACCTGAAGAGCGAGGTGAATATTGTACTTCGAAGGTGGCTAAAAAAAATCTTTGATTAGCCCCCATGAAAAAAAAATCTCTAAACTTCAAATTTTGTTTTGGGGTTGAGATAGGGGAATAAAGTCCATAAGTGGGGGACCAGCTTTTTAATGAATATTTTTAAGTCTAAATTAAAAGTAGAAATTTACGTTCAGAACAAAAAAGTGTTAGGGGAGGAGGTCCCTTGCATCCCCCAACCGTCCCCACCCCAAATTATATATTTTCTAATGTTATAATCACCTGAATGGAATTTGTTAGCAAATGAAATAGCTTTCCAAAACTATTTGTATCAATTTGGGATTTCCCGATCTATTTTTAGATCAATGTAGAGAAAATAAATCCTTATATTCACCCGGAAGGTCACGTGCAGGTGAATATAACGTAGTATTTTTTCTACATTTGAATCTCAGCCGATCAGAGGGATAGGAAATATTTAATTATATAATAAAAGAATGATTTAAAAGTAATGTGAAAGGACCAGTGAAGCATTGTAAGTATTGTACAAACCGTGGAGAATCACTGACTGAGGTAATAAAGAAAAATACTTATACATGTATGCTGCTGAGAAACATTGTTCATCCCTTTACGCCAGGCTGAGATATCTATCTTTGAAAAACAAAGAATTAAACTCTACCAACTTTTTATGGCAGCCCTTGGTTAAGGCATTTTGTTTCATGCAATGCAATAAAACGTACTAGATCACCGTTTATACGAAACTGCTTATTTTTGATACATGAATAATGCATACTTTGTGAGATCATGGTTTTTGAAGTAAGTACTGAGCCTAGACAGCACAAAATGACTAAAATCCATATTACAGATTCTGAATTACGTTTCTTGAAATATTTCTTAAGGGAAATAAGTTAATATTGATATTTTAAGACGAAGTAGTGTCTTTGCTTTGGCCTTCATGGCTCTTAGATATTTTGTGAACGATACAGCAAGTGGATAGATAGATAGATAGATAAATAGATAGATAGAAAGATTAATGTAACTATATATGATTAAAGGTAATCACAACTTTCACAATTACGATATTGATTATTTAAGAAATACCAACTAAAAAAAATATAGGTGTCTATTTTTTTTCGGTAAATTTGGTTAACTTGGAAAGATATGTGCCAAGGTCACTTCAGTACATTACTTTACTTACATCTTTGTTGTGTGGGTATCTTGTAAGGAAAATTTAAGCTTTCACTGGACCCATAGGTACTCTCAATTTTAATCGGTAAGTAAAAATATATCAATTACAGTTCAGTAGATATTTTTCTATATATACCACTTAAGATGTGGAGTGCCCTTGATACCGCAGTATATTGCCTTGAGGATTTACTAGATGCAGAATCTTTCCAACTCATGTATATTTAATTAGTCCTTAAATATAATTCTGCGGGATTTCATATAGCTTAGTGGAGGTTTTCAATAGTTAATGTAAATCAATGCTTTTGATCACACATTGTACACTATAAAAGCAGTGCCCATACATGCGATACAGAGACTAGAAAGCAATTATAACATACTCCTGACATATTTTATAATTCTTCTTAGTTCGTTAAATATATATATATATATATATATATATATATATATATATATATATATATATATATATATATATATATATATATATATATATATATATATATATATATATATATATATATATATACACTAGTACATGCTTCTAAATCAGATCCTTCAGTCCACGTTTTTATTGAGGCTTACATCTGTAGACACAGATTCCAGCATGAGTTTTCTAAAACTTGTTGAACGTGATTTATTCTGCGAGCTGATTGCCATAATACATTATTATACCTCTGTGAATTTTTTCTATATAAAAATATGACGAATAAACATGCTATTTTTTCCAAACAGCTCCTACCGTGGAATAGTTTTTGTGCTATTTGCCCATGGTGAAATAGTCATTAAACTATTCACCGGCAGCATTCTGTTTCCCTCGCTTTTCATCTCGGAACTCTTCTGGTTTTATCCTGATTATGACGTAACACAAGTAAAAACTGCTTCGGTATAATAAAACACCTATTTACTGACTATTCGGACAATAGCAAGTTTATCGTCCCCCTCGACAGCAACTATTTCCCTCGGCTGCGCCTCGGGAAATAGTTGCTGTCTTGGGGAACGATAAACTTGCTATTGTCCTCATAGCCAGTAAATAGGTGTATACTAATCAATTTCATAGGACCGGACTTCCTTGTTTGACATGTCGTTTTCACGGAAACTGACGGAAGTGAAGCTAAAATAATAAAGAGGAATGTATGAAACCATATTAAGCTGAAATATGTCTATCTTGATTAAAAAAATGTTTTTATCCGACTGATAAATGTTGTAGTTCAAACAAGATTTTTAGGTCTTTTCTCTTTGTATATAAAATCTTTGATTCTTTCGTTGCCTTATCCTCCGTCTACAGAGGTTTTAACGAAATTCAATTAACACTATATAATTCCTGGTATACCACCGACGTTATTTCTGTAAATTGCCTTTGTACTTAGATATTGCTGGTAGAGGGGCAGTCTTCCTGGTGTTTCTCGTAACATTCAATAGTTACTGTCTTACTGGTGAGTTCATATATTTACTCTGTAAAGAACAAATTGTATAAGACAAATAGATCGCATTGTATAAGATAAATACACACTGTATAAAAAAGATTTAAGGAATCACT